AGGAGGAAGCGTGCATCCCGGCCCCACTCAGCCCCTGCCCGGTGCTCCCTGAACGCCATGGTTTTAAGGTGGGTAATCCTCCTGGGGCTGAGTACGCACCTCATCCCCTGTGCCCGACCTTGGCTGCAGCCTCCCTTCTCAGCCGAGCAGGACCCTCTGTGCACCTAGTACTTCCACTCAGCTCTTCCTTAGCTGGTTCCATGGGCCAAGCATGGTTCTTTGGTTCGCTTGGTGGGCACTTACGCTGACTCTGATTCTGGGTCAGCACCATGGAAAGGACAAGATCTGCCCCCCCACCCCTGAACCCCCACCCCTTCCTATTTCAGAAACTGTTGATACAACTGTGCGTATGAAATACTTTGAGCTTTCTGGAGAAGGAGGCAGGGTGAGCAAGGAGGATCCCCAGGCCGGAGTCCGATTCCCCGCTAGGCTGTGGTCCCCCGGAAGTCACTGTTCCTTTTGGGCCCCAGTTTTCACAGCTGAACAGGATGGGGCAGGACTAAATGACCTCTCAGGTCCCTCTGCGCTTTGTTCTAGGCTTCTGTGGTGGTGGAGGGCCCAATCCCCAGGCCAGGTTACTAGCTGCAGGCGGACCCTGTGCCCTGTGCAGCCTGGTCAGCGGCACAGTCTCCTTGCTCAGTGTACCTAGTTTTATGATTATTCTCTCGGAATGGCGCTGCGTGAGAACTAAGCTGAACAGCACCACAGCCCAGGCCCCAGGAAGGTTCGCTCTGCTTCCTTATGGCTATTTTCAGTCCTGAGGTCTCTTCCCTGCAAAGCTGTCTGCTGCCCGAGGGTGGCCAGGGTCCTCCACGTCTCCCACACCGCAGACTCCCCGGAGAACCGGGCCACAGCAGGGCGTGCTGGGAGCCACGTGAGCTTCGGCACTGAAGAGACCCAGGCTCCAACCTGGCCTTTGCTACTTGTTAATATTATTAACATTTGAAATTTATTTGGGGCTTTACTATGTGCCAGGCACCATGGCAAGTGTTCTATTTCATCTTGTTTAATAAAATGACTCCGTGATTAGGTATTATCCCCATTTTACAGATGAGAAAACTGAGCCTGGAGGGCAGCACACCCACTTTACATTTCTGCTCCGGTGCCTCTTTCCCGGAGCGCCCCCGCCCTCGATTTAAAGGGCCCTTCTGCCCCCCAGCCCAGCACTCTCAACGTGCCCCCATATGCTGATGCCCCCAGTGCAAGGGACTTATCGCCTTCTGACACCTATATTCTTGTGTAGTTTAGCGCCTGCCATACGTCACCAGGCCATTCAGGTTGTACACAGCCGTATGGGCCAGGCCCCGAGAGCAGTGCCCAGCCAGCATACGCCGAGTGACAGTCGGTTGAATAATTTGCCCAGGTGTCCGTTACTTGGGGGTTGTTCCCCAGCAGGCTTCAGGACCCAGGCGTGGGAGCCAGTTGCCAGTCTGGATCACAGCTCTTGCCATTTCACCAGCTATGGGACCTTGGGGAGCTTGTTCTTTCTGAGCCTTGCTTCTTGGTGAGAAAACAGGTGAGTAACATTTGTCCCTGTAACATGTATCCGGGTGCAGGGATCCCTGGGGACATCCATGTAAAGTTCTTGGCAGATGATAGGCGCTCCACACATGTTAGCTCCTTCCCCTGAGGAGGGTTTTTTCCTCTTGTTTCTCATTTTTCTCTCATGGTCTACCCTTCGACCACAGCTCCCTAAGAGGACGGCTGCTGAAGGAGGGGTTGGCGTGGTCCGCGGCGTTAACCAGTCCCTGCTCTCTCGCCGCCTCCTTCCTCTTCTGGGATGTGTCTGTTGCTAAGGAGACACCACATCAGCCCTGACAGGATGTGGCTGGGTTCTGGCCCACACTGACGGAGAGAGCGTGGCTGACCCCGGGGAGGGAGAGAAGGGGAGGGACTTGGCTTGCCTCCTGGGCTGGCAGTCTGGGTGGGGTATCACGCTGGAATCTGCTGGAAAAACCCAGCTGGCTCCCTGAGAAAATGAAGTGTCCATCTTCTGTCTCCGTGGGGCTCTGGAGAGATGACCAGCAGCCCTGTCGGGAGGCTGGAGTGGAGCTCCTGTTGGGTCACAGTCCAGGGGTGCTGGTCAGGGTGCGATGCCCAGACCCTGGGAGGGGGCCATAGCAGCCAGAGTGACACATAATCAAACTCTTGGCCCTCAGAATGGCACCTCCCCAGAGCAGGGCTGGCGACAGGAGAGGCTGAACGGGTGGTTCACGGCTCTGCGTTTGCTGAGGCCAGCCGCACCAGCTGGTGAGGGGACTTGGCCTGGACACCCTCACCTCTTCTTGCAGCTGTTGTGCGACTCTTCCAGGGCTCCATTTCCTCCTTCCCAGCCCATCCCCTGCCCCTGGGCAGCACGGAGAGAGGGAGGCTTTTGTGTCACCACCGGCTAGCCCCCCGAAGCGTCCATGCTAAGAGCTCAGGCTGGGGGCCAGACCGCTCTGATGGAGTCCTTCCTCTGTTTGTCCCAGCTGTGTGAGCCGGACGAGCCACTTAGCTTCTCTGAAAAACGGGGATCATTACAGCACTTTCCGCTTGGGACTGCTGTGAGGATCACACAGGCTGATTTTTCTAAAGAGCTTAGATCTGGCCCAGACAGGCCAAACTCACTAAACATGGCTCTTCTTCTCATGTTAAGGGGTACATTCCTGGGGAGAGGAGTGTTCTTGGGCAGAATAAAAATGGCATTATTATTATTATTATTATTACTATTAGAGTGAGCCAGGGCTGCCCCAGTTGGGGCCCAGCTCCTCTGTTCACATGTTTCCCTGGAGGCCCCTGCCACTCGTCAGCCCTGGAGCCATTTGCAATTTTTGTTACAAACTCAAGTCCGGTATAAGGAAAGGATGATGTGAGGAGCTGGAGTGGGTCTAAGGGACAAAGAAAGGACTGAATTTTCTGTGCTCAGAAGGGGAAGGCAAGTGTGTAGGCACCTGCGGGCATCAGAGGAAGGGGAGTTGGAAGAAAGAGGGATAGTGATCCTGCACCTGGCTAGCTTAGGTGAGGCTCTGGGACCAGTTCAGCACAGACCAGCAAATGTCCTGGACTGGGGGCACTTGGCTCAGAAAGCCTGGATTCCTGGCCCTCAGGGGAGGCTCTACTGTTTGGGGGCAGGTAACGCTGAATTGGGTCAGTACCTGCCTGGCCTCTGTATCTTTTAGCCTCGTATTTCCTTCAACACGAGCATCTTGGGGGCAGGAGACGTGACCCACCTCATTGGACCTTGTCACTTTCCTCGTGGAAGGGACCCAGTGCTTGTCACACTGGAGGTTCTCAAGGAATGCTTGCTGAATGAACATTTGAGTGAACGAATGCAAAGAGCTTGCTTTCTGGTGTAGCAACCCAAGAATTTAGCTAGATTTTTCAGAAAGCCCCTGTAAGTCCTACTCTCATCCCATGCACTGGGCTTCTCCATCTGGCTGGAGGAAGATGGTGTGGGGACAGTAACCATGTCATCTCTGCTTACCATTGTACGCCCAGAGCCTTGCTTAGTATCTGGCACATAGTAGGTGCTCAACTAATGTTGGTCGAATGAATGAATCACATCCAGAGTGAGCCTTCTTACCCTGGAGTTGGGAGTAGTTGTGCTCTTGACAGCTGGGGCAACTTGGAACTCATCTTGGTAACTCATCTGGCCCCACCACCAAGTAGGGTAAAATGACGCAAATACACCCTGTTACAAGGACCTCCATGTGCGAGGATTTACGGTGATTACTTTAGAAGGTATCCTCTGAAATTTGCTGCCATCCTGAATTTTCTGATGTCCTTGGCAGGCTGTCTCGCTAGTTGTCCTGTCCCTTATTTCTTGTGCTGTTGTACGCAGTCTGTCAATGGAGACTGTTATCTTGTCATTTTCTGTTACATTTGGAACCACTGCCTCTGTGGGTTTTGGGTTTCACTTATCTTACTATCTGAGATCTACTTGTTCATTCTGAAAAAGGCAGCAGCTTCTAGAATGACTAGGGAATAGTCTGAACAGTGACAGCTCTGTCTATGACCCCCCTGACAAGACGCTGTGCTAGGAAAGGGCTCGAGCCTTGCCTGGGGACCGCCGGCTCTGTGACCTTGGGCAGATCACTTCATCTCTCTGAGCCTCCTCTCCGGGCCTATCCACGCCTTTAGTTCCATGTGAACGCACAGGAGTGGGCTGCCCAGAAGTGGAGCAATTTTTAAGTCGTTATATGCTTTCTTGTGAAAGTGTAGCTGTTTTTATTTTGAGACTTTTCATTTAAGCTCCTATTCTGAGTGTAAAAACAGTACTAGCTACGAGGAATTCCTATTTCGTGATTTATTGGAAGTATTATTATTCTATTAGAAGATGGTAGGTTTTTTGTTAAATATGTTTTAAAAATGCTTGCTGCATTCTTAAGTGTGATTTTATTATATCTTGGGGCAACTGTTTTTCCCCCTGAAGAGTAGATCTGTGATTTATAATAAGCCTTCACTACCGAGGCTGCTTGTGAAAGTATTCTATGGTGTTACATCATTCCCAAAGGGTGCTCTGGCTACAGAAGCTTCCAGGTTTCTAAGCATATTTCAGAGGAGACCAAGTTGCCAGATTCTTTCTAGAAATCAGGGTAACCTGAGACTAGCTGTGTCTCTGTCCAGCCACACACTGAAGGGTCTTAGAAAGGAAAGGGCTTTAGGGATATACCAGACCAAATCTCTTGCTATTTAGGTTAGGGAAACTGAGGCCCAGTGTAGACAAGTGACTTCCTCCAGGTAAAAGGCCCAGAATATTCCCTCCACAATCTGCTCCTTGCTCATCCTACATCCCTTGCCAGGTCCAAACTCCAGCCTCCCAAATGTGAACATTGGTGCACATACCCAAACCATTGCTCATGCTCAGGGCAGATACTTTCCCTGTCTCGTGATTTGCTTTCCAAGTGCCCCATGATGGAAGGGCTGCTGCTAATTCAACATTCCAACCAGCATCTACTTGCCCCAGCCACATTTTTGTTTTCACCAGCTAGGCACTAATATCCAGCAGAGAGTTTATTGGCATAATTTCTCCAGAAAGAGGCTGGAGGACTTAGCAAATTCAAACTTTAACATTTTTATCAAGAGTCCCATAGGGCCACCCTTTCCCCTCCCATCATAACCACCAACTCCAATAAGGCTTTCTCTACCACAGGAAGTCAGGGCGCACAGAGCAGAAACAGCACAGGCCAAACCAGCAGGCACATGATACATGAGTGAATCAACTGAGCAGGCAACCGCCTGGGAGCCATCTTTGTTAAGGGCAAAACAGGGTGCTTGTGACACTGGAGAATACAGAAAAGACAGGACTATCATGATTCTTCTGAAGAAGTGAGGGAGGGTAGATGGGGTAGGAGGGGAGACTTTCCTTTTTTGTTTTCCTCAGAAAAGAAAAAGCTTCACAAACAACTAAGATTACATAAATATCCGTATCTCCCAAACTTCCCTTTTCAAAGATGGCCACCCCCGCGGTCCATTCCGAGGGTGCACGCGACAGAATCTACTGGGCGTGGAGAGAGAGACAGGCAGCGGGAGAGATTTAGTTTTCCACAAAGGTTGTTAGTTTTTTTTTCTTTTTCTTTTTTTTTTTCTTTCCTTTATTGATGGGATTTAAAGTGCATATAACTGAAGGCAAAGTCCAAGGCCTAGAGAAAGATATGAGGCCCGAGAGGGAGGCTCAGAGATTCTAAAGGCAGCAGAAGAATACCCACCTAAAAAGGCCACTTGAGCTGCAAAAGGATGGGGGAGGGAGGGAGAGAGAGAGAGAGAAAAAAAAAATGGGAAAAAGAGAAAGGGGGTTGGGGTGGGATGGGGGTGGGGGGAAGCATTTGGGAGGAAGAAGACAAATACCAGTTCAGAAATTCAGACAAAGATGAGTAGTAGGAGCTAGTTTCTATCCCTGGTAGGAGAAGATGGGCTGACCTTAAGGTAGGAGACTTTGTTTTAGGACATGTGAGAAGGGAGAAGTAAGAACAGTCGCCTCTGGCCAGGGCATAGCACCCCAGGGACCCTTCAGATGGTGGGAGTAGGGGGGGGCCTTCTCCAAACCTCTGTCATGGTCTTCCCTGGAGTCCCAGCGGGGATCTAAGGAGCCTCCAGCCAGCCAGGAGAAGTCAGGGGATGGGGACCTTGATCGGGGGCCTCCCCAGCGCTCCCCAGGGGAAGACAAATTCCTCAAGTCCTACTGGGCTGTGGCGGGGCTTTACTCACCCACACAGGCCGTGCCGTCCTCGTTGGGCTCGTAGCCCCGACTGCACCTCTTGTTGGTCCGGCACCTATAACTTCCGTACGTGTTGACACACACGGGCTTGTCTCGAGGGCACACAAATGGGAACTGGATGCATTCGTTGGTGTCTAGAAGGTGAGGGGAGTCACTTACCAGGGAGGTATGGGGCAGTGGGTCCTTGCTCAGGCTCTGTTGCCCCACCTACTCTGTGACCCTGGGCATGTCCTTCTCTCTAGGCCTCAATTTTAGTCCTTTTGGCTGGCTCGTTCTCTACTTGACCTCTACATGTTGGGGGTGTCAGGCTTGGTCCTGGATCTTCTATCTACCACACTTTCTGTAGGTGGTCCCTTCATACATGGATGATTCCAGATTCCTATCTCCAGCCCCAACCTGTCCCTGGGGCTCCAGACTTGTGAATCTAACATGCATCTCACACTCAGCAGGTCCAAAATGAAACTCTAGCTCCCCTAGCCCTCAAACTTCTTCCGTCCCCTGGCCCCATCTCGCCTAAGTCAGTCACACCACTGTCACCCCCTCAGCTGCTCGAGCACAGACAGGAGCGATCCCCAGTTCCTCCTTTTCCCTTACCTCTGTAGGCAATTTCACAACAGATCCCGCCATTCTGCCCCCTTAGTACCCGTCTGTCGGTTCAGCTCCTTCTCCTCAGCCACAGCCTATTCCCAGCCTGCACCACCTGCGGCCTGGAGGTCCGCAGCCACCTCCGGCCTGCCAGGGCTGCCACGCTTCTCTCCAATCTAATCTGCAATTCAGCAGCCAGGCTGATCTTCTGAAAATGGGACTCACGCCATGCCACTCTCCTGCTTAATTGCAAAGGGCCCTAGGAACAAGATCCGGACACCTCGCCACCCTCCCTGACTTAGCGCCTGGCTCCACCACTGTCTCCAGGCTCGCCAGCCTCCTTCCCAGTCCTTTCACACGCCAAGCCTTGTTCCTGCCTCGTGCTCTTTGCCCCTGCTCTTCCCTCAGCTCTTTGTGGGGCTGGACCTTCTCGTCCTTCAGGTCTCAACTCAAAGGTCTTCTCCCTGACCACTTGGTCTAGAACAGTCTCCAGAGACACCTTGCTTAAAGGGTTCTTGGCCCATCTCATCTGGCTGACAGGTCGCATGTTTGTGGTTCCCCTCACTAAAACAGATGCTTCTGTAGCGTGGGTGCTTGACCTGAGTCCCCAGCACCCGTATGAGCACATAAATGTTTGCTGGGTGACGAGAAGGAAGAGGTGGCGTGAAGGGTGACGTCACGGGGTCCTGCCGGTGCTCAGGCCAGATGCTGGCATTTCTGTGTACATGCACCATCCGTTCAGAGTGGCCGGGGCGGGGCCACGGAGAGTGGAGGGGGCTCCTTTCCTCCCAGCCACCCTTAGAGCGGTCCTCCTCCACTTTCTCACCTGTGGCCCTTTGCCCACGTGGCGCCTTCCACCGGAACACTTTCTCCCCTCTCCCTGCCTGGCAAACTCCCCATCACCCCCCAGGTCTCAGCTTAACCCTGGTTTTCTCTGGGGGCACCTTCTCTGACCCTCCGAGCTGGTGTCGGGCCCCACCTTTGGGCTCCCGCGTCCCACCCCTCCCCCACCCAGCCCTGCTCACAGTGCGTGGTCATCGCTCTTTCCCGTGCGCCTCTCCCACTGGCTCTAAGCTCCAGGAGGGCAGGGACCGTGTGTCCTGTTGACTCCTGAATCTCAGTAGCAAAGCCGCCGGCCTGGGACTTGGGAGCACGTGCACAGCAGACTTGGGGAGGGTGCCGCCTGAGGGTCTGGAGATGGGAGGGTCCTTGCCCTGAGCCCTCCCTGCGGGTCACTGACGGGGCAGGTATTGGGCTGAGGGTCTCTGAGAGGCCGGGCCCCCCGGCTGCCACTCCAGGCCCTTGGAGGACTTTCCAAAGGTCACCGGGCCCTCACCGAGCTGCCGTCCTCGCAGCGCTGCAGCTACCTGCCCCCCAGTGCTGCATGAGGCGACAGTGTCCCTTCTGTTCTGTGACCACGCTCCAGCAATGCCGTCCTTGTCTGCCGGCCCCGGTGCCCGCTGCCCCACCAGCTGGCCAAGCCGAAGCCGCCGGCCCCCCATGGAAGAAGCCTGTGCAACTTCACGATGGTGGCCCCCGCAGCAGGGCTCCCCGTGAGCACTGCAGGTGCTCGTGTGTCTCCTCCGAGCGCCCCCTCTGTGTTCAGCGCAGGAAGCACTCTCAGTTCCCAGAACTGCAGTGGCTCAGCCTGCCGGCCGCTAACCTCACTCCCCTTGGTGAGTCGTCTTGGCATCTGGAGCCCCAGGGACAAACCGCGTTTCCCTCCCCACCCTTGTCCTCTGGTCTGCAATCTGAGCTTTGCCAGGGCTCAGGCTGACAGTCCCCAGGGAGATTCTGGCCTCTGCCCCGTCCCCTGTGCCCGCAGGCCACTCACCCATGCAATGGCCACTTTCCTGCTGGGAGAATCCTTGGCCGCACTGCAGGGTGGGCAGAAGCAGAGACACACGTGAGTGGAGAAGATCCCGCCTCATCACAGCCACAGAGCGGCTGTCACCCTGACCCCAGAATGAGGGGTGCTCGTAGCTCTGGGCCTGGGGGCAGCCCCTCCCTGCCAGGACTCCTTCTCTTGCACTGAGAATAGGAGGCTGGGGGAAGGTCGAGAGCACATTCAGTTCAGACTCCTGCTCATTCCGCTCCCGTGGCATCCGTGTGCCTGAGCTGGGATGCCTAACAGAATCTGTCCCTCTTCAACTACAAAGGGAGGGGTCACTATGAAGCCTGCCCTTTGCTGTGAAGATTTCCACCATTCTAGCAGCAAAGTCTGCAAACTCCTGGCAGTCCAGCTGCAGCCCGTGGGGCTGTGGTGGGGGGGTGGGGGAGACTGCTTTTCTGGCTCTGAGGCCCAGACACCCTCGCTCACCTCCAGTGGGGCTGGGTCCTGAAGTCTGTCCTCATCCCGGGGGTAGGGGATCTCCAGCACAGAGTTCATCTCCTCACTGGCCACACTCCGGCTTGCCATCTTGCCGTCTGGCCACGTTACCTCCACACTGCTGGCTTCGTCCTTCCCTGTGGGACAGAAGATAGAACTGGATTTTAAATTCTATTTAATGTTAATTAATTTACACTTCCATAGCCACACTTGTCTAGTGGCTACCATATGGGCCGGCGCAGCTCTAGAACTTACATTCCAGTGGATAGGCCAATCAGCATGAAGCTGTTTTAGGGGAGAAGGTAAAGCCTGGTGGTAAGCAGGTTGACTTTCAGTCCTGGGTTCAAATCTTGGCTGTACCACTTGCCTGCTATGTTGGAAAGAACATGGTGAGGGCCGGGCATCTGGGGGACCTGGGGCCAAATTCCAGTTCTGCCACTGACTTGCTATGTAATCTTGGGCATGTCACTATATTTATATATTTATATTATTTATAATTATAGCTTGCTAGGGGCCATGCTTTCTTTTGCCATTGGGAATGTGCCTGCTTTCAGGGAGCTTCCACTCTGGTGGGGATAGACAGGCAAAAAGAGGAACAGATAAATAATGTCAGATATTGAGAAGCTCTGTGAAGAAAACAAAAGTAGGGCAAGAGGGTAAAGAGGAACTGGGGGTTGGCTGGGGGCCTTTTCTAGTCAAAGGTGATCAGGGACAGGCTCTCGGGGAGAAGGCACTTGAGCTGAGTTCCAAACAGAAGCTGAGGTGATAAAGAACGAGATGGTGGAAGGCCCGGGAGAAGCACCATTCTACAAAGCTGAGATGTTTACAGAAGCTAATGATGAAGCTCAGAGAATATTCACAGAGAATCCATCCGCACACATCCTTAAAGCAGCATGTTACCTCGGTGGTAGCAAGCAGCTTGGGAAGATCTGTCAGGTGTTTAGGCGGTATCAGAGCTGGCCCCAGCCCCCTACTTAAGGCATCCGGGACAGGCTAATGGTGATGAATTGGGGTCGGCAGGAGGAGGGGGCTGGGCCTCACCTGTAGCGAGCGGCTCTTCTCATCTATCACTTGGGAAAGAGGGCAGTGCTCAGCCCAGGTGGGAGAGAGGGTGCCGCCCCCTCGTTATCACCCAGCAGGGATGAGCAGATGTGGGCCTGGTGCTCAGGGGTCCACAAATCCAATCATACCCTCGAGCACCGTCTGTGGGCTGAATCAACAGCACGTCACCCACATGTATGTGTTACTTTCCCCTTAATGTATGCAGCTACTCTTAGAAAAACAAGGGCAACCAAAAAGGGCTGCTGAATTTATAGCAGCTTTGGGCCCTTCTCGTTCACCAACGGATTTTACCAGGATAGCTACTATGGGGGCGGAGGGTAGTCTGTGACACATTTTCATGTATAGAAGGGATTCCTGCATTTTAGAAAAGGGTTGGTAGCCACAGCCAGACTTTAAGGGGAATGCACGTGTAGACTCCTCTGTACAGAGGCCCCCCGGGCGCGGAGTCTCCCAGCGGCACCTTCCTCCCCGAGTCCTAGCACGCTGCTCTGGGGCTTCCAGAGGAAGCTGCACCTTGCGAGCCACATCCCTCAGCGTCCGGATCCTCCCCGCACTGGCTTCCCCTTTGCCTTGCTGCTGCTGGGCTGTGTGTTAATGAGGACGGGGACCTGCTGCCACACTCGCAAGTGTCACAGGTGAGCAGCCCCTGCCTCCGTGGGCACGGGGGGCAGCGGCACCCTGGAGAGGCTCCCGGAGCCGACAAATAGAAGCCAGCAAATAGTTCTCATAAACCTCTCTTCCCCCTATTCCCTCCTTCTATAATAATTCCTTTTGGAGGAGGAGGGTGGACACGGGATTGGGGGGTATCACCTGTAGGTTTGTTTCTCTGTTTTGAAATAGTCGCTTGAAGTTAGACACCTGGCATTTTTAGGTTGAACAGTGCCCAAATTAATTGGCATGTATAAAAAGTATTTTCTATTAAAAAAGGGAGACAAAGAATAGCAAATGTTTCTCACCTAAGCCAAGAGAACAGCTACACGAATACATTTTCCAGCCTGACTAAAGTGCCAAAATAACTCAGAAAAGTCACCGAATATTCACAATCACAAATTTACATTCTGTGTTTGCAGCCTGTCGTTCTGAGTCCTGCTTCCTCCCTTCCTCCAAGCCCAGGGAGGGGCCGGGGCTATGAGATCAGTAAGCCAAGGAGAACACATCTCAGTAGGACTCCCTCCTCTGCTGCTGATTATTTTGCTGACTTGGGCACCCTCTCTGGGGCCTTAGTTTCTTCATCTGTAAGATGGGCGTGTGGCCTAGAGTTCTAGCACTCCTGGGGAGGACAGTCTTTCTTCCTCGCAATGTGAGCCGTGCCCCGGCCGACTGTCCCCTTGGCATCCCCATCTCCACCATCTCTTAGACATGGGCGCACCCTCTAGTTTCCAAAGCACCTTCATTTACTGGCAATAATACTGGAGAACATGTACCCCAAACGGTACCACGTGATCTCAGTGTTAGCACTGGATTCTCTGGGGAAGGTACTAGCTTTCTAATTTCCATTTTAGAGATAAAGGGACTCAGACCTGAGGAGGTAATGTAAATGGCCCATAGTTCCCCAGCTAGGGACATCTGACCCCAAAGCCCATACCCGCTTTGCCCTTGTTCTGCTCACTTCACCCCCACGCCCAGCCCCACCACAGGCCAAGCATCGTGCAGGGATCTGGGATTTAGCAGAAAGGAGATGGACCCAGGCCCCAGCCTGTAGGAGCTGCTTCCCGCGGGGGGAAAGGAACGTAGTGATTATGTTATAATAAACTGGGAACATGCAGCATTGGTGTCCCTCGGTGAGAGAGGTGGGTGTTAGAAGTCATTTTATTTGGGTGTTGCAGGAGGAGTAGGAGTTTGTGAGGCAGAGAAGGGAAGGAAGGAGCAGTCCGGGCAGATGGTACGGCACGGTACAGAGGTACGGAAAGGTCATGTGTATTTGAAGATCAGGGAGAAGTTCAAAGTGGGGGAAGCAGAGCATGAGAATATGTATTAGGCGGGGGTGGGGGGTAGGAGACCAGGATGGGCTTTGGCGCCTTCGTGTGTGAGGCTGATCTGAATCCTCCTGACTACCCTGCAAGGTGGGCGTGCTATCCCCACTCTCCAGGTGTAGACACTGGCAAGGGGAAGTGACTTGCCGGTGTCTGAGCTAGGACTGGAGCCCAGGCTCCTGTCCCCAGGCTTCGCTGTTCCCTCTCAAGTCGCCAGACGTCTCCGGTCTTTCCAGGCACTGCACAAGGGCAGTGTTGAAGCCGTCTGTCTGCCAGGGCTGTGAGACAGGGAGTGGGGCTGCGAGCAGAGGAGGCCCCGTTAACCGGCTGGGAGGTCAAGAGCAGCAGGGAGTCACCTCCCGCAGCGTTTAAAGGACAAAGGCCAAGGAGGCACAGAGAATTGTGCTTTTCAGAAGAATTACCAGCAAAACAGATGGTGGGAATACAGTTGGTGGAATATTTTTGCACTTTAATAAAGCAATTTTTATGTGGGCCACTGAATTTTCCTTCCCGAAATGAGCACCAGCAGGCTTGGAGGCAGCTCTGAGTCACTTGCAAACAATGAGCTTAAAGGAAGGTGGGGTGTGTGGGTGGGTGGGTGGCAGGGGTACCAACAATGCTTGGGGCGGGCTGGCCAGTGAGGAGCCCCCTATGGGGGCTGGCAGGGGCAAGTAGATTGTGGGTGCTTGTTTTCCTGTTCTGGGTTTGGTTGAGCGGCCTCAGCCCTCCGCACATCGGGAACTGGAGAGCCAGGGTGTGGGATATGTAGGGTGGGGGCATGGGGGGCTAGGATGCAGGTTCCGAGCAACCAGCATGCGGTGGGGCCCTCCACAAGGGCCGTGAGCAGAGATGCTTCTTTATGAGGCCGGCTGGCCATCTGCACCAGAAGGAGCCGGGAAAGGCCAGGGCAGGGGCCAGAGGAAGGGTGGAACAAGGCCAGGGGCCCTACGGAGCAGGGGTGGGGACGGTGGTAGCTGACGCTGCCCCAGGAGGATGGTCCTACAGGGTGAAGCCGAGGGCACTCTGCACAGCCGAGGGGGTCCTCTGGGAACCCCAGAGAATGAAACATCCGTCCAGCGAGGTCCCTGAGTTTTTACGGTGTGGTGCGAGGCAGCTCAGACCCTTGGGAGTCGGGAGAACACATGAGGGGCGGAGAAGCTAGTCCTCTGACCCAGGCTCAGTGCAGAGATGAGGAGGCAGGCTGCTGAGGGACACGTGTGCACACCCGCATACGTGTCCACATCCAGCTCTCTCGCTACACCTCGCTGCGAAGTCGGGGGGCGGGGGGAGGCTGGGGATGAGTCCCAAAGGGAGGAAGGGAGCAGGGTCAGCTGGGGTGAGCGGGAGCGTCGTGAGGGCTGGAAGGGGGGGCCTTCTTCCCTCCGGAGACCCACGGCTCCCTGCACAGCTGCGGGCCCCACATCTGTGGCTCAGTCATTTGGAACAACAAGGCAGGCCTTTCTTGCATTCGTATTCTGGACATGCCCCTTCTCACCCCGAGCACCACAAAACAAACTGCTCAGGCCCAGAAACCATCGAACTGTCCGTCAACAGGAGACTTGCTCAATAAATGATGAGTGCCGCCACACAGTGAAATACCGTGCAGCTCTGAAGGGAACCAAAGGAGGGATGTGCATGTTTGGAACGATGTCCAGGTTATATTGTTGAGAGGGGAAAAAAGCAAGTTTGGAAATAATAGGAAGAGTATAATTAGTTTTGTTAAAAAAAATCGCCCGAGGAGTATTTATCTATAACTGTGCTCCCATGCATATTGCATGTAATAAAAGCGTATCACAAAGCATGGCTGTGGGAGCAGGCCACCCCCACCGCTGTACTGAAAACTCCCCACCCCCTGCCCTCCACATTCCTGATCCTCTTACCCGGTTCTGCATTTCCTTTTTTCATAGCACTTAACATCTTCTAACATTTTATATATTTACCCAGTTATTATGTTTATTATATATGTTTCTGCTACTTCCACTCGAATGTAAGATCACCCATGGCAAGGACCTGTGTCTCGTTAGTGTTCGGCACATAGTATGTGCTCAGTAAATAAGCGTTGACTAAATGAATCAAATGGCACTGGGAGAGGGTGAAG